TTTAAATCATCTCACCTAGGTTCCTAAGTTGAAAACATCAAATTAATTTATTTTAATGCCAGTAGGGAGCGATGCATGCCATGAATTCAATGGTCCAGAACGCAATACACCATAGTAGCTGTTAACAACAAGTCAGGATCAGTATATCTCACTTACTTCTTAGTATAGACATGTCAGCAATCACAATTACTAGATTAATCATGTTATGGGTAGTGTCAACATTGATCCCATCTTGTAGTCTGCCCTCTACGGTGATATTTTGTAAGCCTCCAGTTGATATTGGATCAAGTGCAAAAGACCTTATTAAAAGGATAGCTGTCAATCCTGAAGGACCATTTGACAACACTATTTATGCTGGTCACACTATTTAATCTGTTTTTGGTTTACTATCATAATATTAATCCAGTATATAAGCTTGTTGCGAGATTAGGCTTGAGATAATTTGCTGTGCAATAAAATTGCGCAGGGTGTAGTTTGACCACTGCTATAAGCTGCAGTATGACCCCTGACCTGGGTGGTCAATATTGACCAACAAACTCAAGAATCCAATTCAGAGAACACCCATATATGTTTGACGTGTAGAAATAGAGTTCTATCAATCTGGCTAGCACTCATAACAAATATTCATATTAAACGAGGACACAGTCACAGTTGGCTGATTTTCCCAATACATGTACAATAATGCTATGAATAAAATTACGTATGTCCTTGTATAAGTACACTGCACATCAATTTATATTCCGATATATTGTGAATAACCTTCTAAGCTACATGACAGAAAGCTAGACAAGGCTCTTCAAAACACATGACATGCTATTTTAAAGCACTTCAAAAATCGTCTGAATTGGAAGAGTGATTAAAGGTTTACTTAGTGTTGTTTCACGGCAAATGGCATGCCCTGAGTAACAAGCACATTTAATCACAGTAGTGCTGAAACCTACTGGTAAACAAGCAAAATTATTAATGAAATTAGCAATAATTTTAAGATTTCTACATGTAGCTGGTCATTTAATAATAGCCTAGAATCTATTCTCAAGGAAGTACCAGTAAGACACTATACCCCTAACATTGCCAGGACCAATCACAAACCAGAAAGACAAAGCTTTTTCAGATTAAGAGCTTCCCCTTCCTGCAGTCTCAGATCAATGTAATAAAAGCATACATTCGTAGCATGGTCAAACAACACAAGTGATTGGTTGATTGATAACGCTGTCAACCTGAGCAGTGTGACATCATGTGATTTGCATATAGAGCACTTAAAACTGGCCAATTAATGGAGGGTGTTTTACTTCCTTTTGTTCTGGTGAAGCCCACAGTACATGCCACTTGCATGGCAAATGAGATAAATCACCAAACAACGCCAAAGCCAAGTCGTTAATAATTATAGGACTGTTAAATGGATAGAAGGTTAGAGTCTGATAAGTAATTACATGGATTGTTGACAACCCCCTCCATACGAGTGGATTATACATGTACTACAGTTTTTGTACATGGTTTTTTTGTTCTGCCCACCCACTCAATACCACATTGATCTCCCTAGAAAGTTGTGAGTGGATACAAGATTAGTTAATGTCAATATTCACGAAAACAACCTACTTCAATGCTCAAAATAAAAATCCAATTCAATTAACTTCTGTATGGGGATGAGTTGGTCTAATTCTTGTATATGACTAACTGTTTTGTAGTTGTACCTAGGAACATAACATATTTGTACACCCACACATATAATACAGTGTATATACATTTGTATGTATACAATATACAAACAATTTCCTCAATTAGATCCATGGCAAAAATGAGAAGACAGTCGCATTCAGACTGTTTCCTCACTTGGATCCATAGCAGTAATGAGAAGACAGTCTTATTCAGACTGTTTCCCAAATTAGATCCATGGCAGTAATGAGAAGACAGTCATATTCAGACTGTTTCCTCAATTAGATCCATGGCAGTAATGAGAAGACAGTCACATTCAGACTGTTTCCCAAATTAGATCCATGGCAGTAATGAGAAGACAGTCATATTCAGACTGTTTCCTCATTTGGATCTATGGCAGTTATGAGAAGTCGGCACTAATGAGAAGACAGTCACATTCAGACTGTTTCCTTAATTTGATCCATGGCAGTAATGAGAGGACAGTCACATTCAGACTGTTTCCTCAATTAGATCCATGGCAGTAATGAGAAGACAGTCACATTCAGACTGTTTCCTCATTTGGATCCATGGCAGTAATGAGAAGACAGTAACATTCAGGCTGTTTCCTTAATTTGATCCATGGCAGCAGTGAGAAGTCAGTCACATTCAGACTGTTTCCTTAATTTGATCCATGGCAGTAATGAGAAGACAGTCATATTCAGACTGTTTCCTCAATTAGATCCATGGCAGTAATGAGAAGACAGTCCCATTCAGACTGTTTCCTCATTTGGATCCATGGCAGTAATGAGAAGACAGTAACATTCAGACTGTTTCCTTAATTTGATCCATGGCAGTAGTGAGAAGTCAGTCCCATTCAGACTGTTTCCTCAATTAGATCCATGGCAGTAATGAGAAGACAGTCCCATTCAGACTGTTTCCTCAATTAGATCCATGGCAGTAGTGAGAAGACAGTCACATTCAGACTGTTTCCTTAATTTGATCCATGGCAGCAGTGAGAAGACAGTCCAATTCAGACTGTTTTCTCAATTTAATCCATGTCAGTAGTGAGAAGTCAGTCACATTCAGACTGTTTCCTTAAGTGGATTCATGGCAGTTGTGAGAAGTCAGTCACATTCAGACGGTTTCCTTAATTTGATCCATGGCTGTAGTGAGAAGTCAGTCATATTCAGACTGTTTCCTCAATTAGATCCATGGCAGTAATGAGAAGACAGTCATATTCAGACTGTTTCCTCAATTAGATCCATGGCACTAATGAGAAGACAGTCCCATTCAGACTGTTTCCTTAATTTGATCCATGGCAGCATTGAGAAGACAGTCCCATTCAGAATGTTTCCTTAATTTAAGCCATGTCAGTAGTGAGAAGTCAGTCACATTCAGACTGTTTCCTCAATTAGATCCATGGCAGTAGTGAGAAGTCAGTCACATTCAGACTGTTTCCTCAATTAGATCCATGGCAGTAGTGAGAAGTCAGTCACATTCAGACTGTTTTCTCATTTGGATCCATGGCAGTAGTGAGAAGACAGTCACATTCAGACTGTTTCCTTAAGTGGATCCATGGCAGTTGTGAGAAGTCAGTCACATTCAGACTGTTTCCTTAATTTAAACCATGGCAGTACTGAGAAGTCAGTCACATTCAGACTGTTTCCTTAATTTGATCCATGGCAGTAAAAAAAGCCATGCTCAGTAAGAGATAGAATGGGTGGTGCACCACGGTGATTGCTGCGACTCTGCGGATATTTAGGGGTCACCAAGACAGAGGACACTGCACTCTGGCTACCATCAACGTTCTTGGCAAGGTATGAATTACATACTTACTCTTTGTGATTTCACAAGTCATTGTTATTTATAGCTGTTCTAAAATCTTTTAGTGATTATATTTGAGGTCACGTAAAATGCAGCCTTTTGCCAATGTACACACTTTGAATTCATAGTTTGCATGATTATATTTAGAGTATGCAATCAATCTTTCTAATCATTTTTTGAGCCCATGCATGAAGTATATTAACAAAACAATGCAATCATATTTTATTATATTGATATCTACGACTTTCTGGCTCATTTTGCGATATTATTAGAGGACCCAGCGAAAAATGATCTTCTTTTAAATATTATGGAAAAGTTTCCAAGCTTCTGATGTACCGGTAGCTAAATTTATTTAGTTTTCCAGTCAAACTAATTGCCAAGGCTTTTATGGAAATTTATGGTCTTGACAATAGATATAAAATGCTGTGCCAGCCTACCATGCACGGCCATCACAGAATCTATGCATAAATTTGCATAAAAGTTGGTAGACCAGCCACCACAGTGATGACCCCGGTGACCACCAGTTTAATTTCCTATCTCTCCTCTTAAACAGCTGTTTTAAGCACTCGTACAGACACCATTTTTTTCAATCTATGACTGTGGTGGGTCATGCATATTTACACAGTTCACTAAGGTAACTGACAATTATTAATATACAACTACAATTCATAAGCGCAGTAAGACAACTAGTCAAACCACGCTACTAGTTAGAGTAGTAGAAAATAAACTGATTCATGCACACAGGAAAGTTACATGTAGTGAACATTTTCTACAACAACTTGTGCGAGACCTACAATAATTTACAAAACTAGGCAAGCACGAGAGTTGGATCTAGAAACTCATCAGAAAGAAAATCCACAAATTAACACAAAACATTTTAAAGTATAGTGAGAATAGTGTTGTACTGCCTTTATGTATTACTTTCATAAATAAATACACTTAATCCATTGTATAAGATGTGGCAACATGATGAGAAGCTGTTCAATGGGTATTTATTTATTATCAACACGTGTGAATTAAATAAATTAATAATACTAAACAACCCACAAATAATTACATTATAATAACACAGTGCATATGAATTAATACAAAAATATTACTAGAAAGAAACAGAACTGAGAAATATACATGTATATGTGTACAGTTTCTCTTTCACATCGACACCAACGGGTTTATTACCCATCATCAATGTCAATTACTCCATTGAGTGAGGAGTTCTTGGGGGGAATCACAGAGTTCTGCCCATCCCATTTAGTTTACTATATGTACACCAACCTGGCTGATACCAAAATACTATTCAAACACTTCCCACACACAGTTACCAGTATCAAGTAGTACAAACACATAACGAGGAAAGCTATGAAAATCAGAAAATATTGAAAACATAAATCACTACACGGGAGAAATGCGTGGGCAGAAGAGAAAGCTAAGTTTCTAAACACCAATGCCACTTTGGTACTTCGTCATGACTGTTTTGACTTTGGGTAACGTGAAAACTGTCTTACGAATTTCATGTTCTTTGTGGGTTGAAATCATATATTTACCTCTACGATCACTTGCCGAACATTTTGAGAGCTTCAACTGCCACGATCGCTGCACCAACTCAGATATTTTGCACGCAGAGCACACTAAAATAAGATTCCAGGCAAAGTAAAAAAATATCTGCAGGAAGTCAGAACAACATGGCGGCCGCCGTGAGCATGCGCAAAGTGATATCATGTGACATACTACTTCTAATTAAAAGTTAGCGCTCTTGAGCAACTTGGAAATGTATATATTTTAATTTATTAAAATTCACCTATTTTTTGAGTTTATGACGTCCCTGATAGATTCAGAACACCAAGAGAAACATCGAACGATAACGCTACACAATAACTGATGACGTCATAAATTTATGAGCTCAAAAACCTCACAGGACGAAAATAAATTGTGTGGCTATTTCTTTTGGTGATTCATTCGCACCTGGTTATTAGCGAATTTTCTTGAGTTGGACAGAAGTAACCACAGATTTTACCGTCAAGATGACTGCCCAGATGGAAAGTATCCTTTTTAGAATGTAACGTTCCAGTTAAAAGTGTGTTTTCATTACACAGAAAATAAGGAAATCTCACACAACGAGACACATCCTCAATGTTGTTGTCATGAAATGTACGAGATGTCGGAAGTGTCATGCCTGGAAACAGTTGGGAATTGATAGATTGCTATGATTGTGTTGGTAATATGCCATACTACTTTATTTATGGAATGTATGCAGTGATAGTTGGTCTAGATTCTTGTCTTCTGCATGACTGCATTGACTGAAGGTAAGAGAAGCTGTTTTGGACTCCACCCCTACATCTAATTGCATGTCCGCAATGTCAGTTTAAAGGCCCATGTCATTTTTCAAAGAATGAGTTTTTTGCACTAGTACACCTAAACCACAGTGCCCCTCTCAATTTAAATGTACATGCTCTTCTTGAAGTCACCTATTATCTAAAGGGCCATTTTAGGGTTAGGGTCAAGGTTAGGAAGACTTTCAATTTCCCAGAGTAAATACAGAAAAAATATACATGTAGGTGCAATTCCAGAAGATGTACCTACACAATCAGGATCCTTTGGGGGAGTTCCTTAAGACCGGCTAACCCATAACCTTAGCCTGACATGTGGGCGTGAGTAGGCCCTGCTGGTCGAATGGCATCAGACCTCAATACTGTGAATTCAAAGTTCATGCCTTCTTTAATGAGTTACAATGAATATTCATTATGGTGGTCATGATAACACCGTCAAAGCTGTGTTTGCATTGTTGGCAAAAATCACAGTTAGTTTACGACAAGATGATAAACATTGGGCGAAAATTTTCCAGCACCTTATCGCACATTATGTCAACAAACAAATAAACTCTGCTGTGAATGGTTACCCTTTGATGGCTGTCACTATCTGCCGTTCTTGCAATTTGATTGGTACCAACAAAAAATCGCGAGGGGAAGTGAAAAACTACATCATTCCGTCAGGCGTGTATTGGGTTTAGAGCAGCGCTGAGAGTGCAACTCATGCAACCTCATCAGGCTACCATAACTATAACCATAACTACAGCCCCCAATGTAATTGTATATGCACCCTCAAATAACTATACGTATCCTGACAAAGGGGCACTGGAGGGACAAGGTTAGAATTAGAGTTGTGGGTGAGATGTCCTTAAGAAACTTTTATTGTCGTTTGTTCAGTATTTACAAATTGGTATATACAAATTATAATAAAGATGCTTGAGACGTTACCAATAAAATGGAACAAATCACATGATGATATTTTTCAATATACATAAAGAACGCTTAAAACTCCTCAGAAGGAATTAAAATGGTTACATAACAAAGAAAACATGCAGTCACCAACAAAACAATACACAAACAATCGCAAAAAATACAATTATAATACTATAATAAGGATATAATACTGTAATAAGCAAAAGGACAATTATAAAAATAAAATTAATTTGGAAGGAGGTGATGATGTCTTTTAAGGTAACTGTTTTTAAAATTGTTATATGATATATGGATCACAGTGTAAGTTCATAAAATTGTTTATATGTTTGTTAGCCTCTTCTAGTTAGATCTTCAGCTGTAAGCTATAAAGTGAACATGACATTATGGAGTATGAATATAATGATAATAATAGTAATAAATCCTAGCATGTTAAACAGAACTGTGAATAGAACCACAGAAATAAAAGACACAGTTAGGTCGTTTTAGAGTGATGTACGCAACCTGTATACCATTTATTTCCAAATGACTCTGCTAATACAGCAGTGAGAAAAGTGCAACTGGTACAGGAACGCAGAAACAACAAGAATCGAACAGAAGTATTAGTAAAACAAACACTGATTGGTCAATCCGATCTTGTGTGGACGTAGATTGACGCTTATTATTTATTAATTTGGATATCAGTGCCATCACTATAACATAAAATATTATGATAATAACAACAAAATTAATAATATTACTGTTCGCGACAAGAACAATTCATATTGTATACATGTAGTCAGTGGAGTCACACCAGGGTTCACATACTTCGCTGCAACATGGCCGTGTGGTTGAAACTATAAAATAAAGAAGTGGTCGCATATTACAGTGTGGCACACATGGGAAATGAAAAAACACATAATACAAATCCTGAGGGTTAAAATCACACTATATAAACACTCGCCGGAACCAAAGTGATCATTTTGGCTTTTTCATTGAACTCATTTTCAGTCAATTATCGGGACATTCAAGTAGTGTGCAAAATGACCACCATTCAGCCACCTATGTTGTAGCATGGGACACAAGTGTACCATCAAAGTGCAAACCTTTGAAAAGTAAACAAAGAATGTCATGATTAATAAACCTCAAAAAACACCACCATGCATATAAATAAATAAATAATAATTAATTAACGATTTAAACTGGCGAGCACGCAATTTGTTCAGCAGTTATCAGATCGTTACAAGAAAGAAACAGAAAGAAAGTCAAGGTGAGTTTTTCTAGATATAAGGTGTCAAGATGGTGTGTTCTATATCACGAAAATAATTCAGGAAATCAATGAATATCCTCTGTGGTGTTGTGGTACTGTCTGTGAAATTTAAAATTGTTGATTGAGGGTTCGAATTCAACAGTTACCGGGTAACATTTTTTAGGAAGTTTCACAATTCAATCAAATATCCAAGGATCCCAGTATATTTATTACTTTAATTTAACAACTTGCAATTGTCAAAATTATTTAAACAAGAGTTGTTTTCTCTTAAATGAGTCCCAAATATTTGTTGAGTAATTAATTCCCTCAATTTAACAACTTGTAATGGTGGAAGTTAATTAAAACAAGAATTGTTTACACCAAAATAAGTTTCAAATATTTGTCAAGATAATTATGCTCTCAATTTAACTACTGGTTATGGTGGAAATTAATTAAAGGACAGGTATTTACTCCCAAATAAGCCTCAAATATTTGTTGAAAAACGTGCCTATTTGTGCAACCTGATAAAACTATCCCACAAAGTACCAAAATTTGGATTATTTGTGTGTGTATGTGTGCATGCTCCTCAATGGATTTGATAAAGTTAGGTTAAAGTGACAAAGACCAAAAAGTCTTATTACATGACCATCTATTAAAGAAGGATTTGTGGACATGGGAGGATTTGTAAATTTTAATACTGACATGCCATATTACCCATGATGCAGTTCAGTTATAATTGCACATTTATTGTCTTGCCCAAGCCAAAGCCTTGTGGCAATGTTGATGTATAAACTGATCTATAGATGCAAGTTTTGTTCATCGACATGTATGCTTGTATATGTTGTTGCAATGGTAGTTTTGTTACAGTAGCAATATAATTATCCTTAACAAGATTGTCAGAACATTTGTTTAATTTAAAGTTTGCTGCTAAAGATCTAGCTAGGCAATCTAAAAAATGTGATAAAGAAGAAAAAGTGGAAAAAACAAAACTAAAAAAGGTATGTACAAGTTCATAGATATTGTTGTGCCTACAAATACCGTATTTGTTCTTAGTAGCACATGCACTTGCACACAGTGGTGTGTCTATGGACAAAGTACTGTAGAATACTTTATTTTAGCTGGAATTAATTTTCACTGAAAAGACTTTTGGGTGTTTTGTATGGAATTTATTTTCACTGATTTTTGACGAGTTGAATATAAAATATAGGGAAAAAGGTATATTCGCTGGATTTTATTTTCACTGAATCATTCCTTCAGCGAAAATAGTGAAAATAAATTCCAATCGAAAATAAAGTATTTTACAGGTAAGTCATATTTTAATGATTCAACATACAATCAATGTAGTGTTTTGTTTATATGCACATTAGAGACAGGCTTCAAATATATATAGAAATAAACAGATGCTGCTTAAACATAGGAACAAATTAAATGGAATGATTTGTGTAGAATTTTGATGACACTTTTAAAAAATAAGAAACACAATAAACCATCAATGGTTGCAAAAGTCTTACATTATAGTGTTATGTGTGCAATACATGTGTTTGTAAAGAAATAGTGTCGAGGCACAGGGTATCTATTGCATGTTGTTATTGTAGAATTAGAATGACATTTTGGTGTGTTAGAATTTTTCTTTCATTCCTGGTGAGTTGCAAGCAAATTAAAAAAAAATATACATTCACAGTGTAAATAAATTTCAACCAGGGGTGAAGAATAGTAACACAATTTTGGATCCCAGCCATGTGGAACAATATGGCGGTTAGGGATGCTGGGAACCAGCGAAGAGGTAGAGTAATGATAGTACTATGGAAAACAAATAGGAAGGATAAAAAATATTTTGTAAAGCGCATCATAAAGATGAACATTCAAAAAATATTTAATGTGGTAGTGATGAGGCGTGTATGGAGTCAAAGAGAGTCCTTGGCAAGTTAAACTAGGAGTCTGAAGCAAATCTAGGAGCATCCGGTTCCACGGCTGTCCCTATTTAGATCGATGTACACTAGCGCAACAAAAGTAAAAAAGAAGTATATATAAAAGTTGTGTCCAGTGGTAATAAGTAATAAGTGACATGTGTATGGAGGAATTGCTCCAATTGTCAGCGTTATATCATGTATTTCCAGCATATGACAGGTTATATTTTGTGATTTCAGGCAATACAGAAAGGTAACATGGAAGGTGCTAGGATTCATGCAGAAAACGCGATTAGACAAAAGAACCAATCATTAAATTTCTTGAGAATGAGTGCTAGAATTGATGCCACGGCTTCTAGAGTACAATCAGCAGTCACAATGAAAAAAGTTACTTCATCTATGGCTGGTGTAGTTAAGTCTATGGATGCAGCAATGAGGTCAATGAACCTTGAAAAGGTAGATACTCCAGTCTTTAATCTTATTAGCCTGATACTGTAAAACGCACTAATTATTCACTGGGTTTTAATTTCGTTCGTAATTTTTTGCTGGTAAGTAAATCTTCTAAATTGAATTTACATGTCATGTCATTGTTCATAAACCCAGTGAAATTGCTCAAAGCAATAAAATAGTGAAAATAAATAGTTTTACAGTAGTATATATTACAGTGTTCTCTCAAGACTTTTTAAACCCATACGATGGTTTAATCATGATTGGCCACAAGAATGTGGTGATTGAACTTATTATTTCTATTGTAAGAAAACATGAATTACATATTATATTAATATGCATATTTTGTGAGATGTCTATTAAGTCTGAATTGCATTCCTGTAAAATACTTTATTTTCGCTTGGAATTAATTTTCTTTATTTTCGCTGAAATAATGATTCATTGAAAATAAAATCCAGCGAATATACCCTTTTTCCTATATTTTACATTCAACTTGTCAAAAATCAGTGAAAATAAATTCCATACAAAACGCTCAAAAAGTCTTTTCAGCAAATATTAATTCCAGCTAGAATAAAGTATATCGCAGTTTTTAAGAGCAGACATACCGGTAATTGTACTTCACCGAACAGTATCAGGACCAATCACAAGCAAGAACAAACAATAGACTTTTCAACACCTTCCTTTCTTCCCAACAAAAAATCTTAGAAAGTGAAAGTACACCACATCCAATATAATACAAGTTTACTCGGACAGACACACTTTCACTTCTGTCATCATATCTTGGAACTTGTTAATTTAGTTATGGATGATTTTACTTTCCAATAATGTTGGGAGTGAACATCCAGGCATTTTCATCGGTGAAAACAACACAAAAACATGTACTTTAGGTTAGTTGTTGTCTCTCACAGTGTAACAAGATTTGACCTGCACAGAGCCCATAGAAATACAAGGTACAGTGGTGCACGTACTAGAGCGTAGTACGTTCTGTGACGTAGCTCTGCCCCCCTGAGTAAAGGTGTATATAGACACTTGTAGACTAAAATAAAATTGTTCTTGATAATTGTAGATTTCATTGCTCATGGATAAGTTTGAAAAGCAGTTTGAGGACTTAGATGTGCAATCAAGTTACATGGAAAACACAATGAGTGCTACAACAACGTTGACAGTACCACAAGGCAGTGTGGACGGACTCATGCAAGAAGTAGCAGACGAAGCAGGGTAAGTTACATGGTTTAATACTGTAACTTTTACCATATTTACTCTATTAGAAGTGCATTCATAAATGCCTGTCAAATCACTTTATGTGACGTCACATTAGCTAATGTTATTAATTGTTCATGAAGTTCAATTTGGACAAACAGAAAAGTAAACAAAAACGGCACAATAACAGATGTATTTTTCAACTGTTCTGGCGATGGAATAATTTAGCAAGGGCTTAAAATTATTCAGGCAATAAACTTTGTTGAGATATACAACAAATCACTCAAAAACCACAGCAAAGTTATGTGGTTTAGTTGAAATTGTTGTTAGTCTACATTTGATCTGTTTCACATGGTGTTCCATGGTTACGTCTGTTCTATTTTTAGCTCCGCTGTTGACTTTGTTTGTTCGGAGCTTATCATATGAGTGATTGTCCGTCATCGTCCGTATCAATGTTTTACTTTTTCAACTTCTTCTTAAAAACTACAAGCCTGAATGCTTTGATACTTGGTGTATATGTACCTTGGGTAGACCTCTCAGATTTGTTCATTTCATGATGATATCTTTAATTCTCTAATTTTGGTGAATATTTTTGTAATTTTTGGTGAAAAGTGATATTTTCGACTTCTTGTTAAAAACCGCAAGTCCAATTGCTTTGATATTACACATGGACCTCTTTCAGATTTGTTCATTTTATAATATCTTTAATTCTCTAATTTTAGTGAATATTTTTGGTAAAAAGTGATATTTTTGACTTCTTGTTAAAAATCGCAAGTCCAATTGCTTTGATATTACATATATAGGTACTGCATGTGGACCTCTTTCAGATTTGTTAATTTTGTGGTGATATCTTCAATTATCTAATTTTGATGATTATTTTTGGTGAAAAGTGATATTTTTGAAACAGCAAGTTCTGTTGCTTTGATACTATACATATTGTTCATTTTCTAATGATATCTTCTGTTCTTTAATTGCAATGACCATTGCTAACAGCGGAGCTATTTCAGCCGACAGGCTGCTTGTTAGTAAGATTTTAGTGGGGAAAATGATGGTGTCTCAAACACTCTGACATTAGACTATTAGATTATTAATCTGATATTTTGGGATATCCATACTTGTACTTGACAGCGCTTTCAAAGTTATAAATATACTCATCATCTGAATTAAAACAAATTATAGTTCCATTTAATGATGGTGCATCTGTACAACATTTGGTACAAATACTATTACCCTACAGTTCTGAAATGGAAGTTTAGGCCTTAAATAAGGTACCGTAAAAACTCGATTAATTCGCGGTAGTAAAAATAATGCACGAATTAATAGTGTAAAAACGGAAATTATTGGTTTTTGTTGCGCAAATTAAGAGTGCTTTTAGATCGATTCAAAAAGGAGCTGTTTTCATAAATTTATTAGTGATTTGTTTTGTTTTCCAATGAACACGATTACAGGACGTTTTTGTTTTAGTGCCTCCGAGACTTGTGGCTAGCGGCATTCATGGCGTATAGTCGGGCAGAGAACACGCGCCATGTTACACTTGAAATGAAACACAAACAATGAACACGTGGCTACAAAGTAGCCGTCTGGCTGCACTGCCTTTTTGACTCCCATGTGCGAAGCACAAAATGGGAGTCTTTGCAGTTAGTGTGTCTGTGTGTGTGTGTATGTGTGTCCGACTGTTCCACTGCTATCTCAAGAACCATACATCGGTTTTTGATGAAACTTGGTGCATAGATACTCTGGGCCAATGCGCAGATTTGATTAGGTTTTGGTAAAAATCCATGCCCGTTAATTACCTAATTTGCATGATAATTAGCTAATTTTTAGCTGTTCTAGCCGTCTGGCTGCACTGCCTTTTTGACTCCCATGTGCGAAGCACAAAATGGGAGTCTTTGCAGTTAGTGTGTCTGTGTGTGTGTGTGTATGTGTGTATGTGTGTCCGACTGTTCCACTGATATCTAAAGAACCACTCATTGGATTTTGATGAAACTTGGTACATAGATGCTCTGAACATATGCGCAGATTTGATTAGTGGCCTACTCATGTTATCGATGTAAAATAGGCTGCTCACATTTTTGTACCTGTTAGTAATAAAGTGTTTATGCTTTTCGTCTTTATAATCTCAGATTGGAGTTGAATATGGAGCTTCCACAAGGTCAAACCTCAGCGATTGGAACAGCCAGTGCAGCATCACAAGAACAAGATGAGCTTTCACAACGTCTAGCCAAGCTTCGGCAGATGTAACTTATTCTACAAGGGTGGTAGCAATGAAATTAAGTTATCCCATTTCTCACGAGGAAATTTCTTGATCTTGGTGAATGACAATCTCAGCTTTTTATATGAGAGTGATATTATCTAGTCATTATGCTGGCTAACAAACAGTGTTTCTTGCATGGGTCTCATCTCTTTGGTGGTTCCTACCACCACCTCAATGGGATGGTAATGTTGACTGGAGTATGGATATACTTGCTCATTAGCTTGGAGTAAAATTAAATTATTATTGGTAAACTTTGTAAATCACTTCAAATTAAGTGAGGTGTATAGATGGGAGAGGGTTTTTAGTCTTAGTCTTTATTGATATAACTATTACGGTATGTCTTATTTTGTAGAAATATAAATATTGTTGACACATTGCCTGTTGACGCCATGTTTTCCCGTTCATTATGGCTATTCATGGAAGCTTTCAGGAGACATGTGTTAATTTTGAAATCTGCTAATACATATTCAAACAACTGGATTTTGCAGAGGCTGAGAATATCCATTTCAGTATTTGCCAATAAACTAACTTTGTTTTTTATAAATTATATATAGTAATTTTATAACGATCACTATGATTCATTAGCCCCCAGTTGAATCTATCATTTGTGTGTAGATTTAGTGTGGTCAGATTGAATATGCAAATAAGGCCATAATGATGAAATGTACACTTACTATTTACATCCAGTTTACCAGATTTTTTTACCATTTTTTTTTTTTAAATAGTTCAACATTTATTGTAATCTTGTTTTTGAAGTTTTATTTCATCAAGCCAGGGTCATTGAAGATGACTAGGAATACTGGCTTATGTCCCTAATTTGTTTTAAATGTGTGTGTGTAATTAACAAAGCTACATGTATAAATGTTTTCCCTTGCCCATCACCAAGGGGAAAGTCCACACTAGATACTGTAAAATCATTTATTTTCACCTGGTTTTGATTGCAAAATTGTGGGCATATTCATATTTTGTAATGAAACAGTGGGTTGTATCATTTCTCATGTAGTTTTAATTAGCTAATTTCTCTGATTAATGAAAATATTGTAATTAAAACCAAGTGAATAAGTCATGCATTTACAGTAGATATATAACAATTTGGATCTTGTATAAAAATGTTCTAATTTTCCAGTACATGTATTTTATTACTTTCCTCTTTGCTTAGTTATGCGTACAGAGAATTGTTCACATACATTTAATACACTATGACTCTCAATCCTGTGTCTAAATTGTGGGAAAAAAAATGCATAATAACATATTATTTTTAATAATTGCTATTTTATGAATGTCATGTTTTTGTACGGTTATGTGATTTTAAATATTAAAAGCCATTGGAAACTATGTACAAATGTGTAATAAAGTTTATGGAGACTTGTTCTCAAAACTGTTGTACCGGCATGCGTAATTTCATCAATGTTGCTATGGTAGTGACATTTGTTTTTACAGCAATGGGTATTGCTTCTTAAAATACACACCCTCTGTGTTTGGTTTTCAAAATAACTTACTTGAGATACTACTCCACGGTTCTAATAAAATATTTTAGTAGCAGTATTATTTCCAACAGCAGACTTTATTGCCTTCAACAATGTTGCTTGGGTTGCAGATACACCAAATGGGTACCTGACATGGCAAGGTTGTGGCTTGGGCATCAAGTGACTTTCTGATTTAAGTTTTTGCTATGCAATCTTTTTATTTGCCACAAATTAAATGTGTTCCTCTCAACTACAGCTGAATGGCAACAGTATCTTGTTTGATACAGGGTTTCAATACTGTCATTTCTGTGACATGTGCAGGTATGCGATTTTATTGGATCAACCAGTACAATACTTGTCAGAGTGAACTCATTTTGATGACCTGTTTATAGCAGGTTATTCGGGTTACCTTGGTAGAAATCATCTGCCTTGTTTGGTCACATTTGTGTGATTTTTCTCATTCACTAATAATACAATAAAATGAATAAATATATCAACAATTTTAAGTTTATTAGAAACATTTTTTTCCCCCAAACAAAGTCAGTTTTTTTGCAATGAGCACAATGAAATAAAAGTACATATTTACTTATATTAGAAAAGGATTTCAATTTAAAAAAAAAAAAAAGAGGATAACTGAATATCAAACTGTTTTCAGTAACTTGCAAATTTATTCAAAGGCAGTTCACTTTTACAAATTACTGTAGAATACTTTATTTTAGCTGGAATTAATTTTCGCTGAAAAGGCTTTTTGGGCGTTTTGTATGGAATTTATTTTCACTGATTTCTGATGAGTTTAATGTGAAATATAGGAAAAAAAGTATATTCGCTGGACTTTATTTTCACGGAATCATCCCTTCAGCGAAAATAAATTTCAAGCGAAAATAAAGTATTTTACAGTAGTACAACCAACAATTTGCAAGCATTTGCAATTTTGTTTAGGATATTGCAGGACTTCCTGTCAAACATTTACACCAGTCAGGTAAGGAATGTTTTTACTTATAAACCCAACTGTTTTCATCTGAAATCTCATCCAAATGAGACTACTGCATTGGCTTAACGGACACCTCTCCATTTCAAGAAGTGTTCATGCAGATATAACATGTACGTCACTGCACACTATATAGAGTGTACTGCAGTTTCAGTTTATAAATAGTTTATAACATACCTGACTTAAGTGTACTGGCAAAACTTAGCAAATAAATACTGTGAACCATATAATTTTCACTGTTAAAAATGTTCGTGATTGCATGAGCATTCAAGGAGACAAAATTTTGCTAAAATAATTAACACTTTGTGTCATAGAACGCCAGAGAAATTCTCACTGATACCAAATTTCAACATTTTCACTGACTCTTGAAATTCACGAAAAATTTAAGCAGTTTACAGTACTTTGAGAATTATTAAACAGAGACTATGTTAGAATAAGCTCATCATAAGATATGTTCATTACTTGACATGGAAATTTGCAAACAGTCCAATTAATCAAATAAAAATAATTTAATCTCATTAACAACAGTTAAACAGGGTGAAAATTAATTATAATCAGTAAAAAGAATAACTGCATTTTTGTTGAATTTGTTTTTAGTTTGAGTAAAAAAATGAGATTTTTTTGTACCGATTACACTCACTATAATCGTCGTCCGAAAAAAAATAGTCCTAACAATATTCCTTTCAAAAAATTAGAAGTATGTTTTGATTTGAAATTAATAAGTCACACTGTTGACCAAGTTATCAAAAACATAACTCTAGTCAATTTGATGTCATTTGAGTTCATGTTAACATAAACATTTTTTTTTTCCAAACCAAATTAAAACATTCCAAGTTTTTTTGAAAGTGCAAAATGAAAGTTTATATTTACTTATCAAAAGTGCAGTTCAATAGATAAACATCTGATTTGGCAAGATATTAAGAACTCGCAATAGACCTATTTTGCTAACTTCTAATAGAACAAATATGGGTAACTTAATATCAACAAGTCATTGAAAATGACACAGTCCTCGTTAAATTTTTAAAAGTTCTCTTTGTGCTCGTCATATTAAAGCTGAGGGGTTTGTCGCGAGCGTGTCCTTGAAACTGGAGTTCCAAGTGGCGTATACAACAGATTGTTTATTTACACTAAAACATGTGTTCCATGTAGTAGTAATATGGCCAAAAATAAAAACAGCCATTATTCGGCCATCTTTGATCTGATTATGAAACACACTGATATGTATGATGTATGTGCCAAATACGAATGAATATGGTAAATAAATTGTGGAAATATAGTAGTAAGGCCAAAAAGTCAGATGGCTGTCAATCAGCCATCCTTGACCAGATTTTGAAACAAATTGTCATGGACATGCATTCTAACACATATAAAGTACATGTATGTGCCAAATTTGAATGAAAACTGACAGAGTACGTCCAAGATACAACATAAAAAAAACGAAAACAAGATGCCTGCAGTCGACCATCTTTGATCCAATTGCGAAATAAATCGTCAAGGACATGTATCGTAACATGTATGATCTATGTACCAAGTTTGAATGACAACTGACAAAGCATGTCCAAAATACAACACTTTCAAAAAACAAGATGGCTGCCAGTCGGCCATTTTGATACAAATCGCTAAACAACTGCATGTGCATATGTCCCACATAAGGTACGAGGCACATGCAAAGAATGAACAGAATCGGTCCACAGGATTCTGAAATATGACTCCGCACAGACGGACGGAGACCGAATTATAAGTCCCCGTTTTCGGACTTTGTCCGAACGGGGACTAATAAACCATTTGCTGCTATGTTTGCAACTGGCAGTTTCATACATAGCCATCTTGTTGTTTATACTTTATAACAAATATTCAATAAAGTACAATCTATTCTGCTAACAAAAGTAAAAAAAACAAATATAAATTGTGTAATAGATAATAATAAGTAGTTCCTAGTTTGGTATAAATGTCAACAAGCTAGCACACTGACAAGTTAACACCATCAAGAAATAGTTTGTCTACGGTCGTTAACTTGTTGGACGTTACATTTCCTGATTTGGTAATGTCAGTGGCGGAGTAGGTAGCTGAGATAGGTGAGGGTAGTGGATACAAAGTAGAAGCACATCTTGTGATGGGATGCTGCCACGAATGGTTATTTGGCTGAAAATGCACAGGTGCCTGTATGCCAGTGAGCACTGTCCGTGATGTATTGTATGTAGCCTGGTACTTGCCATGTCCATTCAATGTCTGGCTTATGACAGTATTTGTCAATATGCATTTAGCTGATTTCTCTGGACTTGAATAAGTTGATGTTTTAGTCAGCAGAGTAGAGGGCATGTTGCTATGGAAACCCTGTGTAGGTAGAGCGTAGTTATAGTAACCATGTATGGCGTGAGACTGAGTTGAATATCTTATTGGTCTAGAAACGTGTATGTTACCATGACGACTGTCAGGAGTACTAACTCTGAGGTTACATGATGCCAGGTGATTGTTCCCATGGATACCATATGTCATAGCTGAGTTGTAGACTTCTGTTTGGGGTTGGTATGGTATCATGCTAGGTAACTTGGGTTTACCACTTTTAGTTGAATTTCCTAGAAGAGCAGAATGCAGATGTGTTGTGCTGGAGAAAGTAGGAACGGTGGGATCTAAGCATCTTTCATCTGATTGAACATCTGGCTGCACGTCTGCCTGTGGTGTACACATCCAATAGTCTGCTTCCTGGTCTTGCTCATCATCGCTATAGTAATTCCCATTGTCATAGTTACCAAAAAAGCAAGTCCGTGGGCGCTTACTCTTACTAGGACATGGATTATCTTGTTCATTGGATACCGTCATGGACACCATATCAGGTGACTTCCTGACAAGTGCCTTTTTCCTTTGTGTTGTCATTCCCTCTTTATGTGCAGTTAAATCATTTAAATGCGATTCACAGAATGGTTGTTTGTCAATATAGCTATGAGTTGCCGCAACACTGGAATACTTCATAATGCTATTCCATGTTTGGTCATCAGTAGTTTTCTCCGGATAAGTTGGCCGTGTATAGCTGTCTGGCAAGGTTCCACCTCTAGGGGGCGCTGTGATAATTATGCCAGTTTCAACGGTATCCCAGTGTGCAAGTGAATTGGAATCACTATCTACAGACGGAAGCAAGATAGATTCTTGGCCACTGTGATTAGATCTGAAATCAGTACTAGCTATAGATGGCAGTGAACTAGATTCTTGGCCACTGTGGTTAGATCTCAAATCAGTGCCAGCTATTTGCAGATCTCCATCACTAATAGACTTCTTTTCTATACAGTTTTGATATTCAAGATCTGATGATCCAATTTTCTTAACTGTTTCATTTAACAACTGAATGAGAGTTTTTCCTCTTTCTCCACCAACCACATTATTATCCATCAGATATCCTTCACCAATGATTGTTATCACATGATTGTCCAGTTTTGTATCATTACAACAAACACCACTCTGTGCCTGTGGTTCATTACAAACAGCATTTTGTGTGACATCCACACTTTCATTTATCTCCCCTCCTACTTTGACAGCCATATTGGCCAGCATGTTAATATTATCATATGGACCAATACTTCCTCTGTACTGACATGGTAGTGACTTGCTTTCAAGCTTCATTTCATCTCTGACTTCCCCAGTGGAACTGCTCATCTCCTGATCATTTTTACCATGACATCCAATAGTTTTACTGTAACCACCTCCAGAGGTATTTGAAAGCCCAGGAGGTTTATCAACACTTGATTTACAGCTATCTGGTTTCAACAATATGTCAATACTAAAATTGCTCCTTTCTATCTTTATATCATCATTACCACTACTGGTAACTTGGCAACCACTTGCTTTTTTTCCAATGTTCTCGTCCGCAACATTACTCATAATTTTCCTTTTACATCCAGGTGCATCCACATGTATTAACTCATTATTTATGCATTGCTCTTTCAGTTCATTGGAACAGTTGGTTTTTGTACTAAACTGATCAGAAAACATATCATTGCTGGCAGCTTCATTTACAGTTTGATGATTGTTTTGTATGCTATTTCCACTAGGTAACATTGGTGAACGAGTAATTTCTTCCATGTCTTGACTGATCAATGCAGTATCCTTCTCAATTTCACCAAATATTAATCCGGCTCCACTATACTTAACTTCATCCAATGGTTTCAGAATGGTTTCTCTGCCCAAATCAGGCTCTGGACTATTCCTGCCCACGTTGTTATTGTTGGTATCCAAATACAAAGGTTTTGAACTTGTTTGTAGTTTTGGATTTCCAGCATTTGTACACTGTGTTTTGAGACTGTTCATAATGTCACTGATACATATACTAGAAAGTGCCATGTTTTGTACAGTATTCACACAATCAACACTTTTCCTTCTTTCAATTCTTCCTGGTGGTATGAATGTATTGTTAGCATCAGATATGCTGGTATTAAACTGTTCAGCCTTGGTATTTCCAGACTTAACGCATCTGGTAACATACTCATCTCCATGGAAACAGTCAACCTGGTTACCTCCAATGGCAGTCTCTGCTGTTGTGGTAATCTGATCACATGACTTCAAACTATTTTGATTCAATCTTAGTATTGCCTGGTCTTCATGGTTCAGACTTGTTTGTTGTTGATTGGTTACCACTGGTTGGTAGGTGCTAGAAGGATGGGTAAGCTGATTACTACTGGTAGTTAACATCAAAGAGGTCAAATTGTGTTCTACTTTCAATCCTGCCAATATAAATCAAAAAAAGCTTAGAAAGGACTCCTGTGTGCTGAAGGTATCGGAGGCATGAAGTACAAATAAGGAATACTGTATTTTAGAAGTACATCTTCAATACACATAAAGTGACATTTGTATTTATTGCATGCAAAATCATTAAAATGTGTCTTATTTTGACCACAGACTTGTTTTTATCATTTACAATTATGGCATTTAAAAATATAACTGCAAACACTGATCAGGGTGGTTCTAAGTGGATTTGGTTCAATAATGAATATTGAATTAAATCATAATCATAAATGATGACTTGATATTTTGATCATATATTTATGTCATTATCTGTTATAGTACTTAAGATATTACAGTTATGCATATTAATTGGGTCACATAGCCATATACATGTATAGTCATCTGATACGTTACTCATATCTCCTGTTTGAAGCCTTCATGACGGCATTGTTTTGTTTGAGCGCCACCTAGAGCTCAAATGAGTTAATCTTTTGTTTAAGTTAGAAGCCATAGAAACCACACAATTCTAGGGACTATAATTCCCCTGTCATTTTTGTAAGACTTTATTCTCCATCAGTATATAATTTACAATCCACAGATCTATAATAATGCATCAGAAATACTGATCCATTTTAAATTAGCTTACAGTGAGTCAGAGATAACCAAGAGAGATAAGTCACAGAATATGCCTCTTTGAACGAAATAATCTAATAATCACACCATTAATATTTTTGTGGGCCAAAACCCTAATCCTAAACTGAGGAGTTGTTTCGTCAGTTCACCATTCTAATAATTCATGCTTTCTAGTACTGAATCACTACTGTGACATAGTCAGGTGTTAGGAACACCATTCACAGTATAATTGATAGCATTTTGATCCGTCATTAACAACATGTTTGCTTAACGCCACAATCAAACTGAGGTGACTATTTGAATGACATTGTGCTCTCACCCTACATCATTGCTAGACGATGTAGTTTATTGCAACACAATACATGTACATGTATGATTCATCCCCACCTTTGTCAGGTTGCATTGTATAGTTGTGTTCCTTGGACACATAAGTCTCTGGTAATCTACAATAAATAACAAATATGAGATGAAATTAGAGACGCAAATTACAATCATACATCAAGTATATTATTTCCTGGCTGTGAACTTAAGTACTCCCATATGGTGACCCGGGTCATGACTTCATAATACAACTCCATAGCATGTAGGGCTCATACCACTAATTGAATTTCCATAGACAACAATGTTAACTTATGACGAGATTGCTATATGAAAATAATGAAGAAATTTGAAAACATGGCTCAAAAATGGAAAATCAACATGCCAGTAATCAACCATATGACAAAAACTAACATGTTGGCCAGCTCAAACTCTTACAAATCTCAGGTAAACAAGACACACCTACTGTATTTGGATTGCACCTAGAGAAATCACTGGAAAAACACCAAGATTATTTAGAACATCCAAATACACACAGAATAAACCCACAGGTACACAGCCGCTAAGTAGTAAACAAAAGACCACATGTTGGTCTCACCTTTGACCTAGGTGATTACGCCCTCAAACAGGGAGCACCTAAGAAAAACAAAATTTAAAAAGTTTCATTGGTTCTTGCAAGGTATTTAAATTAAAGTGCCTGTGCAATGCCCACCCACACGCTTCCCATTTTAGATCTGTGCCCCACTGAAGTGAGCAATTATTGATTTTTTTGCTGAAAATGATTACTAGTACAAGTAAATTTGAGATATTTCCCGTGCTGTAGCCACGCCCACCTATCCTGAAACGGTCAACTGTTTCCGGATTTCCGACTCTCGCCGAAAGTGCGCCACCAAATGCAAAAATGA